TTCTCATGCTAAGGTACACATTAATACTAATATTTGTGATTGTGGGATGGTTCTATATGGTTGATATCCATGTAGAGCAAAATCATAAGTGCAATCACGGAATGTTCTAATATTGATTTTGTTCAATTACATTATTTCCTTATTTGCGGATAGAACAAAAATATCTGGATAGTTTGGGAGCTCTTTGTTTACTTTATATTTGTAATAGGCAAATTTTGGTCGTGGTTGGTTTTAATAAACTTTTAATTTATTTTGTGTTGAGGCTTTGTATTCTGATATAGAGGTAAATAACATTTATATATGTGGGGATGTTGATGCTTGCTTCATAAGTCGGTTGGATATTTATGTGTGTGTAGATACTTGTAATATTTATCTGTATTATACTTTGCTTACTTAAATTTTCCTCTTGCAACTCTCTGGAAAATGAAAGTGGGAAATCAAGGATACTTAGCTCAAGTAAAGTACAATATTCTCTGTTTTTCTTAGTGGATTAATGGCACTTCAGAATGACTAATTTCTAAAGGTCACATGCTTCTCTATTCTCCCGTATATACACTTAAATTTGATTGTTAGTTTTCTTTTCTTTTATGTGACTGGGGTTGGGTTTGAATTCTATTTTTATTGACATATGTTTTATTGAAACATTAAGTTCTCAGGACGAGTGCAGTTAGACTTGAAAACTCTTCAAGGTGATTCCATTATATTACAAAGTTAATTAAATCGCTCCCAAATTTGAATTTGTGAAGAAGCACAAAGTGAAACGTGGCATCATTGTTCTACTATACTTAGAAATCCTGAGAAGGGGAAGCTGTGAGAGACATGGTTCTACTCTTCTAAATGCATATATTTTGACCACTGTGCACAACAAAATATACTGAATGCGAAGTTGATGAATTTCTTTGTAATATTGATTCTCGTTTTACCATATTGGCCATTCTCAAGGGTAGCAAACATTGTCCAGCCCTCATGTACATGTATATATGCTAAAAACAATTTAATTGTATATTCTTTTATATTGTTATATTATAACTATAATTCTGGTCTTGAATGTGGAAATTAAGATTGAATTTTGTATACATTGTGGTACTTTTATTTTTTGTTGCTCTTTGTTGCATGGTGTTGCTTTTTGTTGCATGTTGTTGTGTTTTGTTGTATCATACGGAGTATATTTTTATGTTGCTTATTATCTATTAATTTGATTATACATTTTATAGATTCTTTGTGTTGCTTTTTTGTTGCATTATTTGTTTCTTTTTGTTGCATTTTGTTTTTTGTTGTTGCATTGTGTTTCATGTTGTTGCATTGCATTGTATCTTTGCTCCTTCTTGAAATAAAAAAATTCATGTATTGATATATAAATAATTAAATTGATAAATTTCGATATGTGAATATCAACAATAAAACTTGATGAAACAATAAAAAAAATATGCAAAATCTGCAACAAAAATAAACATAAAGAAACACAAAGCAACAAAATGCAATTTGTTGCATTATAATTGTTTCTTTTTGTTGCATTTTGTTTTTGTTGTTGCATTGTGTTTCCTGTTGTTGCATTGTATTGCATATGGTTAATGTTTAAGCTTGAATTTGATTTTAGTTGTTTATTTAGGTTCTACTTATCTTTGCTCCTTCTTGAAATAAAAAAAAATCATGTATTGATACATAAATAATTAAATTGATAAATTTCGATCTGTGAATATCAACAATAAAACTTGATGAAACAATAAAAAACAAATATGCAAAATGTGCAACAAAAATAAACATAAAGAAACACAAAGCAACAAAATGCAACAAAAAATGACAATAAAATGATAATAAGAATTTAACTTTGTAGCTCATTAAAAAAATTAATAAAAATCAAACTCTGTGATATTTTCCAATGTTTTACGTTTTTTACTATTTAAAATATTTCTATTTGGTATGCGAGTTTTGTGCTTTTCTCCCCGATTTTTTGGAATTATATCCTTTTCTGAAATTTTTAATACTTTTTTACATTTTTTGTTTTCTATTTTTGTTTTATTTTTTATGTGTTTTTTTATTTTATTTTGTTTTATTCTTCTATTTTTATTTTTAATTTTTTAATTTTTTATTTTTTTATTTTATATAATATATGCTCTTTTTTACACAATTAGATATTTGTGTTTTTGTATATTTTTTAATTTTTTTGTAATTCTTTTTTTTGTACATTTATTTTTTCATTTTTTATTTTCTTATTTTGTTCTTTTTCTTCCTTTTCAGTTTTTAAATTTTCCTTATACGTAATTTTTATTTTTATTTTATTATTATTTCTGACTTTTTCATTGTTTCAACATTTTTATAGTTTTTTACATTTTTTTTCTAATTTTGATTTTCAATAAAATAAAAAAAATCAGTTTGTTTTCATGTTTTAGTATCGTAAGAAATAAAAAAGTTACCTACAACTTTCATAGTTCTCTTTTTTAAAGTTACACATTTTTTGTTTTGTTTTATTGTAAACATTTTTACAATTATTTTCAGATTTTGAAATTTACGAATTTTTTTCCCCAAAGATCACAAAAATTCCATATTATACAGATTTGTTTATGTTTGAACATTTACCTTTTCTTAGTGGTTCAGCCAAAGTGATATGGAGTAGTATATAGGATTAGTAAGTTATACGTAGTAATATATGGTTACCGTCTACGGAGCAAGCAGTAAGACGCCAAACTAATTTTGAAAACAAAAACTTTTCTTGTCTATTTTTGAAAACAAAAATCAAAGGTGATAAAAGTGATATTATTTTTGTTTTTCAACCTACTTCTGAAAAAATCCCTTTAGTGTATTTGTATAGAAAAATGGTAAGGTCCATCTTTTGTAAATGCATTTCATTTATGTATCCTTATAAAAATAAATTCATTTATAAACTTTTACCTTTTCACTTTATCGTTTTTATTTCAAAAATAACCTGCATCACTCCAGAGTAATGATTGATGCTGGCTAGCAGCCTGCCTCCCTTCCTCCTTCATCCTCTCCTCCGTCATCTCTCCTTTCACCACCCACCTCACTCACCCCACCTTTCGCCCTCTCATTCTCTGCACCCGGAAGTTTCTCCGGGCCTCACTTCCCTCACATCCGGTCTCCCGAAAGCTTAAAATTCCAGCTTGTCTCCACTTCTTCCAGTTTTCGATCACATCTCAGCGCAATTCCTACTACTCCAGTGTTGACCAGATTATCGAATAAGACTTTGAAATTGAGAAGGCAATTAACAGGATTTACATCTATATATTTAATTTGGGTGTCCAATTGAAGGTTTAAGCATATAGCTACACTCATGGCAATCCGTCTCCCAACATGACCAAGTTCTCTGGCACTCTTTGGACAGGAAAAAAACATTATATCTGGATTGATTTAGGCCTAGCGCTTTCTTATGATGGCCTTATGCCAAGAGGCGATTCTAGCTCTTTAGTAGAAAAGTCAGGGACGTGTGCGGCCGTTCCTCTTCTGCCCTGCACCGACAGCACAATCCAGCCTTTCTGACTCTGCAGCTCAGCCCTTCATCCTCTACCCCTGTTAGCTCGACTGCTTCGGTGTGTATTTAATCACTATAGCTTCAATATGACTTGGATTTATTGTTTGTTCGTAGCTTTTTAGGTTTAGATCTCATATTTGTATTTGTGATACTATACATGTGCGATGATCTCAAATTCGTATTTGCTTCAAAGTAATTTTTAATCTTAATTTCAACTCAGCTATCATATTTTTCTTCTTAGATTCATCTTTACATGATATTTCCAAGTGTATCAAAAAATGTTTTCACTATCCCGAATTTCATTGAATTTCTCATTTGAACTTTTACTCTTATTCAAATTTCTTCTCATCTTTTATTATTTTTCTTAGGAAATCATATTTATTGGTGTTCTTTCCTCTTGAACAAGCTCTATTGACCTCTGTGACCTTGAAAGGGCAAATTCGATCTCGAAAGATGACTAAAATTTGCATTGCATTCACCCCTATTTCATATGTAGTAATAATAACCAATATATTTCACCTTTAATGAATCTTACCTATCATTTTTTGGTAACGTGCATCATATAAAAGATACTTCATATAGCATATCCATAAAGATTGCAGAATCACTTGAAGCAAGAAAGGAATTTAGCAAGAAATTTGATTCCCTCTGCTAGGGGTGGGCATAAAAAACCGTAACCGTATAACCGTGCCTAAAAACCGGAAAACCGCCGTTTTTTCCGGTTAACCGAACCGCAATTTTTTAAATCCACGGTACGGTTAACCAACCGTGAGAATAAACGGTTCGCGGTACGGTTACGGTTTTAGAAATATGTTATTATCGGTTAACCAATAACCGGTATGTTCATGTCTGGTCATGAACTTCACGTTCTCAGAGAACTTGGAAAGATAAATATGTATCCAACACATCTAGATACATCAATTCTAATAAACATGTGAAGAAACCAATTTCTGTTTGTCACTATAGAATTTTTAATTTCATATTATTAATAATTAGTCAAAGCTTTTGTGAGTTATAATTAATTAGCCCATTCTGCAATTGTGAGACTTGAACATGTGTATTCTTTTTTTGAAGCAATTGAACACGTTTATTCTTATTAAGTGTATTTTATCTTTTCCTGTATTCCACTCTCAAAATTTATTTTTCTCTTGTTTGGACTTAATTAATATAGAAAGAACATGGTATGTGTATATATTTAATCAATGGTTTGATGGTTTTTGGTTAACCGGTTTGTGGTTAACCGAAGTTTTGGTTAACCGATACTCGGTTAACCGAAGCTTTGGTCCGAAGTAATAGGTTTCTCGGTTAACCGGAAAGTTGGTTAACCAAAACACGGTTAACCAACCACGCCCACCCCTACCCTCTGCCATATGATCTGTGTTCAACTTTGCAAGGAATTGGATGCTAAATTTAATCCTTAGGTTTACTCTCTTTGACATATCTTTAGGTATTGGTATCTCTCCAGCCATATGCTCTTGTGTTTAAGCTTCATGTATTTTACTTGCTAATAAACAGCTAAGAGTTGTAAAGCGTGATAACCGGGCTAAAATTGATATTCCCATGGAAGCATTGCTTAGGATGTGAAAGACATATATGCTTGCTGCCATTCAACAAAATCTCTTTGATGTTGCAAAACAAAATCTCTTTAAATTTGCAAAACAAAATCTCTTTGATGTTGCAAAACAAAAGAGAAATTCATGTGTCCAAGTTGCTAAGATATGGAATGAGTTTGTGAAAACTCTGAATGACAAAAAGTTAATCTTGGCTCCTTGGTGTGATGAAAAGGATGTTGAGAAAGATGTAAAGGCACAGACAAAGGGGGAGATGGGTGCATCAAAGACACTTTGTTGTCCATTTGAACAGCCTGAGCTTCTAGAAGGAATGTTGTCCTCTGCCACGAGGAAACTTTCCAAGATATGGTCATACTGGGGTTGGAGTTATTGATATGATGATGCTTCATTCATTAATTTATACATGTTGGAAATATTTTATGGTGTCCAATCTAATTAAATATCTTTGTATTTGTGTAGTTATTAATTAAATGTGTAATATGAGCCACAAATGTATATCAGCCCATTAGCTTCTTTGGAATCCATAAGTTAGCCATCCTCTTCCATAAAAGGAAGCTAACTTATGGAAATCCTAAGGCTTTGAGAGAGCAGAGGCGAGATAGAGAGTAGGTTTACGCTGCTCTCTCTCGAGGGAGAGCAGCAGCGTTTTACACGGTATACCAGATTCGTTGTTTATCTCGATATCTTTCTATCTACCTCTTCTTCACTTCTATGATTGTTAGATTGTAAGAAATAGGGACTAACATGTGGTATCAGAGCCAAGGCATGAAATAGATTAAATACATCTGCGATATTTCGGATCTAACGAAGAACTGCTCTGATTTTTTTTTCTTTTAGAGATTTAGCTCCTGTAATCTTGTTTGTGAACGAAAATTTGTAAAAGTTATGCTATTGGAATCGCCATTTCATAACGATTCTACAGCATATCTTATTTTTCGATTTCTGCAATCTTTTAGTTTTGAAGATCTCTACATTAAGATCTCGATACTCTTGTTTATCACGGCTGCAGAAACGATCTCGACTTGAAATTGATACAGGAGAATCTCGACCTTCAGTGCTATTCAGAACAGTTTTCAAATTTTCAAAACTCGACATTTTCATTTTGCAGGATCACGACATTTTGGGATTTGGAAGCTTGGGATTTCGAACTTTGGGATTTCGACACTTTGGGATTTCGATCTTAGGCGTTTCCTGATGTTTAGAATCTTTCAAAGTTTGGAACTTCTTGAATCTCAGAATTTTTCAAAGCTTGATATTTTTCTTAGTTCAGAACATTTCGAAACTTTATATTATAGGATTTTTGGATGATTCTATGTTTTTCAAAGTTTTAAAAAAGTTTTCGATGTTCTGATGTTTTTTCTAACAGCAAGTTTTCGATATTCTGAGGTTTTTGAATTTCCAAAGTTTTTGATGTTCCAAACATTTTGAAATTATGAAGATTTCTAAGTCTCGAGGTTTTGTTTTGCAGGTGGATTTCTTCATTACTCTTCGAGGCAAACTCGAGATTTAAACCTCGAGATTGTGATCTCGAAGTTTAAACCTCGAGATTGTGATCTCGAAGTTTAAACCTCGAGATTGTGATCTCGAAGTTTAAACCTCGAGATTGTGATCTCGTAGTTTAAATCTCTAAATTGTAATCTCGAAGTTTAAACCTCGAATTTTATGATAAAGCCTTCATGTCATATGTTCTAATTTACAATGTTTAGATTCTTTTCAAATTTATAAAACCAATGATATTAGTGACCAACTGACTGTTGTTGTTTTCTTTACAAAAATGATAACAAGTTACCCATATGACCTTCTAAATGTCAATTAACCAACTCCAGTACCAAATGTTTTATTCCAAGTGAAGTCGAGAGTTATTGCATACAATTTAAAAGTGGGATAATAATATGGGTATTAATATAGGTATTAACAGGGGTAATTTGAGTTTGCAGCCCATTTTATTGTCCAAATTGGACTTTGCACCCCGTTTTTAAAAATCTTTGTTTTTGCACCCAACCTCATATGAAAAGACAAAAAAACCACTCCATTAACAATTTTGTTGGCCTTCAACATATTCCTGATTGAGGGCATTTTGGTCTTTTCATATGGGGTTGGGGTGCAAAGTCCAATTTAGAAAATAATAAGGGGTGCAAACTCAAATTACCCCTTTAATATACAAAATCAAAAAAGAAATTTCATATAGTGTTCTTGCCTATAGAGTTCCGCATGAATAAATAAGGGAAGAATTTGAGTTTGCACCCCATGTTTTTGGTGATATTTGACTTTGCACCCCATTTTTAAAATCATTAATGTATGTACCCCATTAGCCCAAAAATTGTGAAGGAGTGGGGTGCAAAGTCAAATGATTTTATAGTGAATTAGGGTGCATACATTAATGATTTTGAAAATAGGGTGCAAAGTCAAATATCACCCAAAGCATGGGGTGCAAAGTCAAATTCCCCCATAAATAAAACTTATAGCATATAGAAATACAAGAAATATGAATAATAATGCAAAGCAAAAGATATCAGGCAGCTACTTCTTGAGCCATGTATAAGCCTGATAACACATCAGGCTAAATGCAAAGGCACAATCAAAACATAACTTCCCCATACATAGTAGCAAAATTTTGCCAAATGAGCACCAATGGATGAATTTAAAAGTCTTGCCAAACACCACAAAAGCACATAGCCCTTCAAAAAGTTACTCTAAAGAGGTCTAATTGATACACAACTTGGATGTTATGGGCCGAACTTGGATGTGTCCACCATTGCTCATAGTCATAGGGTGTACAAAAAAGTATAGGGAAAACTGTCAATTTGATACTCATACTATAACGAAATGTCAATTAAATTCTCATATTTAAAAAAACTCAATCAAGGGTTATTTGTCAATATTGAGCAATTTGGAACCTAGGGTTATTTGCATACTTGTAGTTAGTAACTGTAGGCGTGGTTTGGAACATTCCGGTAAATTAGTAAATCTCGTAATGTATCTGTGAGGTTTTTAATGGTCCGGTACGGTCCGATTTCAATGATAGAACCGCTTGGTACCATGTCATTTCGGAACGGTACAAAACGGTACGATACAATGCCAAACACATTGTTGAGTTTATTCGCCGTGGCCCGAAAGTCCAACACCTCTTCCGGGAGGGTTTCGTAGCATGTTGATGGTAACAAAATATAAACAATGATTTTAGCGTGGAAACACGAAAGGGAGAAAAACACAAGACTTTTTAGGCTAATGTCCAAGCCCTCTCATTTTATTAATGCTCTCCTCACCTTTACAATGTACAAGCTTCCATTAATGGAGTATAAACTAGCTAAAGAGAGAAGGAGGAGGAGAAGAAGGGATCCTTAATAAGGAGGGGAGCCCTCCTATTTATAGAGGAAAGAGGGAGAGGTGCTCCACCTTAATGGGCCAAGCGACCAAGATGGGTCTGTTAGGTCATGGTGGGCCGGATGGCCAAAAACGGGCTGAAACGGGCCTCACTGATTGGGCTCTATACCAAATAATGTCTTAGGTTCGTGTACAGTGGTAGGTCGGGGTAATATATCACAACACAAGTCCCCCAGTTTTTTGAGTAGCGAGCGTGTGAATCTGCTCGAGAAATTATATTCTTGCTCGCGCTCTTCCTTTGTCTTCCTTGGACATAAGTCTTCGAGCGATCCTACTGCATGGGTGGGTGTCTATCCCTCTGAACATAATATGCTGTTAAGGCGCTCCCCCTCCCGACTGGATCGGGCAAGGGACGCTCTTCCCCAGATCCTCTCCCCCTGAATGTATCAGGCGGGAGTAAAGGACTACAACCTGGGTTTGCTACCCGAGGACCTTAAGAGGCCCGAACCAAGCAGCCTCGAAAAATATGGATAAGATGAACACAATGCAGGTGTGTATGTATGAATATATGAGATGTGATGCATGCATGTGTGAATGCATGTAATGTATGAGTGCAATGTATGAAGGAGGGTGCGTCAGGCGTGATATATCGTGACGGGTACCATCCTAGAAAGGAGTAGTGATCCCAAACATGAACATGATACGATGGCGTTGATGGGCCGATCATGCTACATAAGACGGTGGTTGCCATCCTGGAAGGTATGGACGAGCCGACCGTGAACTGGACATGATGGTGCTGAGGGGCCAATCGTGCTGCATAAGACGGTGGTCGCCATCCTGGAAGGAATATACGAGCCGATCGTGAACTGGAAACGATGGCGCTGAGGGTCCGATCGTGCTGCATAAGACAGTGGTTGCCATCATGGAAGGAATGGACGAGCCGACCGGGAACTGGACCGGATGGCGCTGAGGGGCCGATCGTGCTGCATAAGACGGTGGTCGCCATCCTGGAAGGAATGGACGAGATGACCGTGAACTGGACACGAAGGCGCTGAGGGGCTGATCGTGCTGCATAAGACATTGGTCGTCATCCTGGAAGGAATGGACGAGCTGACCGTGAACTGGACATGATGGCGCTGAGGGGCTGATCGTGCTGCATAAGACGGTGGTCGCCATCCTGGAAGGAAAGGACGAGCCGACCGTAAACTGGACACGATGGCGCTGAGGGGCCGATCGTGCTGCATAAGATGGTGGTCGCCATCCTGGAAGGAATGAACGAGCCGACCGTGAACTGGACACGATGGCGATGAGGGGCCGATCGTGGTGCATAAGACGGTGGTCGCCATCCTGGAAGGAATGGATGAGCCGACCGTGAACTAGACACGATGGCACTGAGGTGCTGATCGTGCTGCATAAGACGGTGGTCGCCATCCTGGAAGGAATGTACGAGCCGACCGGGAACTGGACACGATGGCGCTTAGGGGCTGATCATGCTGCACAAGACGGTGGTCACCATCCTGGAAGGAATGGACGAGCCGACAGTGAACTGGACACGATGGCGCTGAGGGGCCCATCGTGCTGCATAAGACGGTGGTCGCCATCCTAGAAGGAATGGACGAGCCGACCGTGAACTGGACAGTGGACACGATGGCGGTGAGGGGCCGACCATGCTGCATAAGACGGTGGTTGCCATCTTGGAAGGAATGGACGAGCCGACCGTGAACTGAACACGATGGCGCTGAGGGGCCGATCGTGCTGCATAAGACGGTGGTCGCCATCCTGGAAGGAATGACCGAGTCGACCATGAGCTGGACACGATGGCGCTGAGGGGCCAATCATGCTGCATAAGATAGTGGTTGCCATCCTAGAAGGAATGTACGAGCCGATCGGGAACTGGACACGATGGCGCTGAGGGGCCGATCATGCTGCATAAGACGGTGGTCGCCATCCTGGAAGGAATGGACGAGCCGACCATGAACTGGACACGATGGCGCTAAGGGGCCGATCGTGCTGCATAAGACGATGGTCGTCATCCTGGAAGGAATGGATGAACCGACCGGGATCTGGACACGATGGCGCTGAGGGGCCGATCGTGCTGCATAAGATGGTGGTCTCCATCCTGGAAGGAATGGACGAGCCGACCGTGAACTGGACACGATGGCGCTGAGGGACCGATCGTGCTGTATAAGACGGTGGTCGCCATCTTGGAAGGAATGGATGAGTCGACCGTGAACTGGACACGATGGCGTTGAGGGGCCGATCGTCCTGCATAAGATGGTGGTCACCATCCTGGAAGGAATGGACGAGCCGACCGTGAACTAGACACGATAGCGCTGAGGGGGCGATCGTGCTGCATAAGACGGTGGTCGCCATCCTGGAAGGAATGGACGAGCCGACCGTGAACTAGACACGATGGCGCTGAGGGGCCGATCGTGCTGCATAAGATGGTGGTCACCATCCTGGAAGGAATGGATGAGCCGACCATGAATTGGACACGATGGCGCTGAGGGGTCGATCGTGCTGCATAAGACGGTGGTCCCCATATTCTTGTCGTACCCGCCCTTTAGCCCGGTCCTTTGGATCCTAAGCTGAGCTAGGTTGCCGTAGTCTGTGAGGAACGGATTTGATCCTCTTGGGATTTTTTTGTTTGATCCTCTTAGGATTTTTTTATGTTTCATTTCGTCATCCGCTCATCGTACCCGCCCATTTGGCTCGGTCCTTTGGATCCTGAGCTGAGCTAAGCCATCGTAGTCGGTGAGGAACAGTTTTGATCCTCTTGGGATTCTTTTGTTTGATCATCTTGGGATTCTTTTATTTGATCCTCTTGGGATTCTTTTATGTTCCGTCATCCGCCCGTCGTACCCGCCCATCTGGCCCGGTCCTTTGGATCCTAAGCTGAGCTCAACTATCATAGTTTGTGAGGAACGGTTTTGATCCTCTTGGGATTCTTTTGTTTGATCCTCTTGGGATTCTTTAATTTAATCCTCTTGGGATTCTTTTATGTTCTGTCATCCGCCCATCGTACCCGCTCATTTGGCCCGGTCCTTTGGATCCTGAGCGGAGCTAAGCCGTCGTAATCTATGAGGAACGGTTTTGATCCTCTTGGGATTCTTTTGTTTGATCATCTTGGGATTCTTTTATTTGATCCTCTTGGGATTCTTTTATGTTCCGTCATCCGCCCGTCGTACCCGCCCATTTGGCCCGGGCCTTTGGATCCTGAGTTGAGCTAAGCCGTCGTAGTTTGTGAGGAACGGGTTTGATCCTCTTGTGATTCTTTTGTTTGATCCTCTTGGGATTCTTTTATTTGATCCTCTTGCGATTCTTTTATGTTCCGTCATCCGCCCGTCGT